TATTTGTTTTTAATGTACATTTTTTTAATTTGATTATTAAAATTAATTTGCCTGCGGGCGCCCATGGCTCCCTTCAAATTTTTTTTTCAATTATTTAACTATAGTTCAATTTTTTAAGCTCATTTTTAAATTTTGATAACAATAGTTAGTACCCTTAAAAATCCATTGTTTAAATATCTAATTATTGACAATGAAGCTATGAGTTTAGGAATACTGATATTGTAGACTTCAGTCTTTAATATTTGTTTTTAATGTACATTTTTTTATACTTTTTTAAAATTTGATTCTTAAAATTAATTTGTCCTCGGGTGCCCATGCCCCCTTCCCATTTTTATTTTTAAATTTCAATTCTATTAAATTTTTAATATTTTATTTTATTTTGAATCTTAAAACTCATTTGGCTGCAAGCGCCCATAATCCCCTTCAAATTTTTTTTCAATAATTTAACTCAAGTTCATTGTTTTATGTTCTAACTATCGTAAATTAAGCTATGAGTTTAGGAATACTGATATTATAGACTGCAGTCTTTAATATTTGTTTTTAATGTACATTTTTTCATACTTTTTTTTCATTTCATTCTTAAAATTCATTTGCCCGCGGTCGCAAATGCACCCTGTCCCATTTTTATTTTTAAATTTATATTCTATCATATTTTTTTACAATTTTTTTTATTTTGATTCTTAAAATTCATTTGTCTGTGGGCGCCCATGCCCCCTTCAAATTTTTTTTTCTATAATTTAACTCAAGTTCATTGTCCTAAACCCATTTTTTAAATTTTGATAATAAGTTAATACCCTTAAAAATCCATTGTTTCAATATCTAATTATTGACAATGTAGCTATGAGTTTAGGAATAGTGATATTATAGACTGCAGTCTTTAATTTTTGTTTTTAATGTACGTTTTTTCATACATTTATTTTATTTGATTCTTTAAATTCATTAGCCCGTGAGCGCCCATGCCCCCTTCACATTTTTTTTTAAAATTTAAATTCTATCTGATATTTTTATAATTTTTTTTTTATTTTTTAAAGAATTCTGTAGTTTGATGTGACACTCATCATCTTTTGAATTTCTACCGCTTGAAAAACTTTATGTGGGAATCCTAGATTAAAGTAAGTAAAATAATGCTTCAAATAATTTTTTGAAGTTGCTTAAACATATTTTGAACTAATATATTATAGTTAAAATATTTAGTTTGTACAGATGTTATAGACATTTAAATTTTTTTCACAATATATTACTTAAAAATAAAAACAAAAAATAAAATAAATGTTTTCAATTCAAAATTACGTATTTCAGTACTTGTAGTTACAGTGTATTATGTATAATGTATAATGTATAATGTATAATGTATAATGTATAATGTATAATATATAATATATAATGTATAATTACCTTTATATTGTAGACAATTTAGCATAAATAAATAATATTTGGCATAATTTTGATATAATTATTCAGTGACTGCTTGACAATGACTAATGAAAATAGCGCACGTTCTATTTCAATAAAACAATATTAGTCATGTCTATAGACAGAAATGTATTGTTTTGACTACGCTTTATTAGTGTGCGTGTTTTCCATAAAATATTAAGGTTTTATTTTTGATTAGTCATAATAAAGCGACTTTAGTCGCTTTATAATAGTTTTGCTTTACCAGTGTGCGGTCACCCTTAGAGTTAGTTCAGCCTTAGGGGTATAGTAACAAAACCAGGAAGCAATAACGTAATAATTTCAGTAACATTTACTAGTTGCACTAGATTTAAATATTAATTTCTATTCTAATAAAATAAAACGAATTACTAAGAAATATTACCTATAACTGTAGTAAATTTTAAGTCTTATACGCTTAAAAATGTAATAACTAAAAAGATTTTTAAAAAAGTTCGTGATACTTAAGAAGTATTTATACTTGTAATTCACAATTAATATTAATTTACATCTGTTTCTTATAAATTCTTACGGTAACTTAAAAAAAAAAATATGACTACACAAGATAATACACTTCTTAAACTATAGAAACTGTTTATACAGATTTGAAAAATGTTCATTGAAATAGTTGCGAACAATATTTGCATTATGGGCCGGTTAGGTTAGGCATCTTGTTAAAATATTAAATTTGCTCTTGTATAGGTTTCTAGTGAAAGGTCATCTAACTTAGCTGGGGCTGAATTATGAACATTTTCAAGTATTAATATTTTACATACTCTGCAGAACTCACTTAAAAATTAAAATATCGTAAAAACACAGATAAATTTCCTACCTTAAAGTTTCATAGTATACTATTGAATTGAATTCACTTTAAATATATCAAAACTAACATCATGCTATTGAAATTAGTGAACTGAATTTTGCAATGTATGGGTGCAAGCGGAGACAACACATAATATGGCGTACGACGTTTTCTTAAGAAATAGTTTCCTATTATTTGTATAATGTATTCAGTATCTATATTTTTTAATGTTAATAACTAATAACTTATATCTAGAATCAATACATATAATAAAAACTATAAACTGAACATGTTCTTATATACAGTGGTTTGAGTGGATCCAAGATATACTATTGGGTAGAAGATTAAAAAAAATTGAAAGTGCAGTGGATAAAATCATAAATAGATAAGGAGTACTTTTATATTAATGCAATATACATTTAAAATTATTATGGATGACTCATAATATTCTGATTATGTATAATGTTCTTAATTAAAGTTATTAAATAATTCAAATCTAAAACAATCTTAGGAAAAACACTATAATTAAACAAATATATTTATTTATGCAGGTATAATTACTATTTCAGCATTTTAAATATTTATCTCTATAGATAAGAGTGAAGGTTTTACTTTTCAAGATCATCATAATTTATCAAAAAAATGTTAAGTACTTACCTTGATATCTTTACTGGCTATTTAAAATATGTGAAAAATCAAAAAATGTATAAATTGTTATTTAAATTTTAGATGGTTTTGAATCGTTCATATTATTAATGTAATTAGGATTACTTGATAATCAGAGAACGCATTTTTGAGCATATTTGATAGAATTTAACTACCTACCCCTTACTCCTATTAGGTGAACACGAACAGGCTTGATTTTCTTTAGATAATGAATTACCTACATTATTGTTGGTTGAAAATAATCGAAACTGCTCCGAATAACTGCAACTAATCAAAATAGCTGATTTAAATTGATAAAATTCAATATTTAATTTTTCTGTTTCGAATATCAGTTTCGTTTATCCGTTATCCGCTATTGAATGGTTATTGAGTATACATTAGTGTTTTAATACATAGATTAAATTGACCCATCTGCTTTCTAAAATAAATCTTGTACAGGATAATAACCTATATACAAGTAAATTTATAATAAATACAGGATAGAATTTAAAATAGACAATTGTATCGCTAGTGTTTAAAGTAGAATAACTCAGAAAATGCTAGTTTAAATTTCGATCACAATACATCAAGATTTTCAGAAAAATCATCTGATTCACAAATTCCAGTAAAACACGTGGTTCTCATTTGAAAAAACTTTCTAAATGTCGTAAAACAATTTTAGTAGACGCCTTGGATATTTGGAAATATCTTCTTTAACTACATTTAAAAAGTTCAAAATTCAGAATTTGAATTTATGCACAATTTAAACATAATAATATGGCGTGCACGCTTATAATTCATCCTGTATGGCTAAGTACTATATTTGCAGGTATAATGTACAAAAGACCCAAGTATTGAAGTATGCTATAAAGTATAAACAAGCTTCGTATTATTTGAATTATCCAACCAATCTAATGTATAGGTACACACCAATACACTTTATCTATAATACATATATTATAATCTATATATGCACGTTACATGATATATGAATTAAAATGTATCAGATAAACTCCCACTTTAAATACTGTTTTAACATAAAAAATTGAGTGCTCCACAATATTTATAAACGACAACCTCACCGTGGGTTATTGTCGTAGTATGGTAAATTGTACCAAACCACTTGCACTGAAATCAAAGTTGGCTCGTGCTAGTCATTATTGCACGTTACTAATACATAGACACAATGGCGATTTTCGTGTTAACAGTAGTAGGATTAATGTTTGCTGCATGTGCAGTGAACGCCGAAGAAGTCACCGACTTTCGCATGTGCAGGAGTGAGTATTGCATTGATACTCACATTGGTTGTAACTTATAAATTATATTATTATGTCGAGCAAATATTTCTGAGCGGAGCAATAAATGCATTGATTATGTTAAAATTTTGTGGGTGTGTTTTTTTAAATTGTTATTTGTGTCAGAGTACACAAAAAATAGTAGAACGAATGCTTCGGTTTTCAATTTTTGGGTTAGTTTTTGAAAGTAAAATTAATCTAGTTGAAACTTTTAAAAGCTTTGAAAAATTCCCATTAGTTTCCAAAACAAAAAAAACAATAATAAGAAAAATGTATTTTACGCAAAATTAGTTTTCGATAATTTAATCGATTTTGTTTTTTGAGTAACTCAAAAACGAATAACTGTAGTTTGATACTTTCATTTTCATCAATGTCTTTATGACCATTTTCCATATAAAATCTAATTTTCAAAATATTTTGACTCTTTTTAAGCCATTTCAATAGTTTTGAAATTTGAATGTTTTTTCTATGAATGATGATTCTTATAGCTAGGTACTAGTTTTTTTTCAAATTATTGTCGATAAAAAATTTTTCACCTGGTAAAAAACCTTGAAAGGGTAGATTCACAATTATTTTCTTGATCGTCTAAATTTCGAATTTGACAAAATACGTAAAAATTATTTTGAGTTAAAAATTCATAAAAATTTTTATTTTTAAGTCTAAGATTTAAAAATTTAATACAAGATTTCTCATAAGTTTGTCTACTTTTATAAAATAAAAAATATCATTGTATAATAAATTTCTAATTATTACAATATTGGATATTTGATCGATCTCATTTAATAATTTTCCTATTGTATTGTAATTCAAAAACGAATAACTGTAGATACTTGAAATTTATACCGAATATTTATTTTATTAATTCCTATACTCGATTAAATTTTCAAAATATTTCTACTTTTTTTGACTTGTTTACTGACATTTTCAGTTTTCAATGTTTTAGTTTTTTTTCTGTGAATATCAATACAATTTTATTGTTTGGGTCAAAAAACTTGAAAATTTAACACAAGGCTCCTGATATATTGTTACAATAGCAGTTTAAAAATATTAAAAATATATAGCTCGAAATTTTTTTTTAAAAGCATTTAAAGTTTAATTTTGACAAAATTTGATAAATTGAAAATGTACAAATTATTTAGTAGTTAAAAATGAATACAACTTTCAACTGTTCACTGTTTATATATTTTTTTCAGATGCTAGATGTGAAGTTTATGATGTGTATATTGATCCATGTCCCGAAGCTTTAAACCACGAACCATGTCAAGTACCACAAAACAGTACCGCGTCTATCACATTTAAATATATTGCTAGTATGTATATAAATATTCTTCAAAAAGTTCAGTAACAGTTAATACACTATAACAGGATAAGAAAGAACATCAAAAAACTTGGTATAATATTATGTTGTTACGTACCTATGTGGTAATGGGTAATATTATGTATATAGAACACCAGGAAAAGCATTCGTCATGTATATCTATGGTTCATAGCCGAAATCAACAGTGCATTCATCTTGCAGCATGCATAAATGCACAATGCACATAACACATTGAACGCATATTTATAATAAATGTAAATTATCTTATAAACATAAGAGAACAACGCAAGTTCATACTACAGTGACATTAGTATTTATCAAAATATTTATTACATTATGTATTGGAATAGTAAATACAATAAATACATTTTTTCTTTCAACAAAATTTAGTTGAAGTCCAAACTAAAAAAAAGATAAGTGTAGAGCCAAAATTAAAAATTACATATGTAGGTATTTATAAAAAACATTCTTTCATTAACTACCTTTCTTCTCGTATGATGACTACTTACTATTACTTCTCTTAATAACTCAATGATCAACTTATGTAAATATTAAGGCGAATGATAAGTTAATGACTCTTAAATTATACACAAATTCTAAGTTTTTATTTATCGTCGTAAATACCTATAGGGCCATCCAGGTTGGAATAGTATAGGCTATACATACATAATATATCCATCATATAAGACACATACATATCATTTATTAATTATTGTATTATATATAAATGCATGGTAATTACTTTACATGTTTCAACTTTCAATGTCCAACCTTAAAAAAATAAATGAATCCCTATTTATGATATAACACAATATACATACAAATATACAATGGCTCCATGACAGTACCTATTCATACAGATTTGGTGGTGCCTAATATACGAACTACCTTAATAATGTATAAAACAACTTTAATATCTAACTATATAGATTCGAACAAAAACAATTTAAGTAATATCTATAAGTTATAATTGCAATGATAAAAAAAAGTATTTAAATCAACATCTTTTTTAGTATTTCCTAAAGCTATTGATTTATTACATTGATGATTCATTATGTTATTTTTTGTTATACCTATTCTTTAATAATGTAATCGTATTATTATTTTTAATGATTCAAAACCAAACATATAGTAACCTATATCATTGAAATACCTTTCTCCGAAGTTTTAAAATCTGATTGCGTTGAAAATAGAAAAATAGCACTTTTAATATACACATTACAGTCAAGTAAAATAAATACATTTTTCTCTGATCACTACGTGCAGAATCTATGAAATAAAAAATAACATTAAATTTGGTTAGGTCATTAATTAATATGCTGCTTAAGTGAGTAAGTACATCATATTCATTAAGTTTAAAATACAGGTACCTAATAATGACCGCACACGTGTGCATAAAAATGAATTGTTTACAAAATGAAATATAGGTAGAACTTATTAACAAAATACAAATTACGTACGTATATTCACCACGTTGGTGATTTTTTTTTTTAAGTTAAAACTAAAAGCTTTCACTCTTAACTATACTAGGGCTATCGATATTTTATGTTGATATAAAGCAAAGAGCTTAATACCTTAATGGAATATTTAATTGAACAAACAAAGAGTTAAGTTTAAAGTTACACTGTTAAACTGTAATGCTTAAACATAAAAAAATGCACTTTAAAATCACAAGTGCCTTATGGCTATTGTGTTATTACTATTTAGTTACTATAAATGAGGCCAAATAAATCAAATAGTTCGCATTGTAATATACCTATTATTTGTAAGTGTTTATTTTTACATTACCTATATTATTTATTTGTTCCTACGCCTGACGGATATTGTACTAAGATAAATATAAGTATTGGTAAAAATCAAAGATTGCATATTAAAATATATATGATTACCTGTAATAATTTATTGTGTTGCAAAGTATATTTATCAGGTGGGTAATAATTATTAAAAGTGCAGTATTGTTTTGATATCTTCAAATATGTAAAAATGAATAAGATTATATTTTGTCCACCCAGACACATTTTTAAGCTATGAAGTATTATTAAATGTTATTTTTTTTATAACTATTCGACAATAAATAGATGCATACTTGACTTGAATTTAACAGTAATTAATTTCAACTTCAGTTAACAAGTTGATCATCTCGAATGGTTTATGCCTGAATCACAAATTATCAATTACCTACCTATTAAATATATACACACTGATTAGATATAGGTAGTTACTATAATTTCACTTAATTAATTTTAAATGGGTTTTAATTGATACTTAAACAATTAATATAACTTAATTATTAACATCTTGAACATTAAACAATCAAAGCATAAACTGTTTTTTATTTAATTTCATCCTTATGTCTGTTGAGTTAGATACATAGTACTTATAGAATAGGTAAAATTTAAAGTTAATTAATGTCATTCTGCTGTATATGGTAGGTTTCGAGCGTACCCATAATCCTTGAGTGAGTTTCTGAATAATTGATGTGTTAGTGGGTTAATACTTAAATTTGAATTCAACGATGAATCATTGCATTCAAAAATTAATTTTGAGTGGAAGTTGTAGCTTGTTATAAATGTATATGTATTAAAATTTACTCTTACACACTTACTGAAACGTTCTAGATAAAACACAGTTATTATAAGTTTATAATTTACATAGTTTTTTTTTTATTTCTTACTAAAATACTCATAAAGGTACCTACTTCTTCTATTTTACTAGATCTATACGTGTACCTCAGTTCAGATATTATAGTTATTAGTATATATCCAATAGTAGGTGCTCTCTATACACATCCCCGATGTCTTAGAACAATTTCTAATGTTCAAAACGGTTGAGTTGTCGAATCTATACGCATATATAGAGAATTATAGAAGAATCATTTTATAAATACATTATACCAAATAGCTGTATATAATTTGTTTATTTGAGGTGATCAACACGACGATTTGATGCATGCTTTTAAATCTTATGCCCGATTAACCATTGGCAACCAATAATCATTTATATACAAAAAAGTACTAATTTACACCATGACTATTATATCATATGTAAGCAAGAGCAAACATTTATAAACAAAACACAATTTTATATTTCCATTGTGAATCTCAAAATCTTTGTGCGAGTACCTTTTCAAAATTCGAATTTTGGAATATCCTTTCTTAATGCACATAGTACACGGTAGTACGATTGTACCATGAAAATGTCAAATCTCTTCTTCCATAATTTAAGCTCTATATTGATCAGTTAGTTAGTCAGGACACGTCCAATTATATATAATTTATATATATATTATGTTGACTTGACTGTATTAGATATTGACTATTGCCGGATACTTATGGATTGTACAGCATAAATAACTTTTACCTTATTGGATCATACCTATTATTTCCTTTTTGATTACTTCGTGAGTATACAATTATTTATTGCATATTTAAAAATCATACTTTCAATTATTTAATTTAAGCAAATAATTATTATAATAATTATATACCTAATAATAATTATTATTATTATAATTATTATAATGATTATATTTATTAATTAAAAAAGGTATTTTTACTTAATTTATGCATGTGAATAGTATATTAAAACGTTGTTCGTGTATAGATATCATATTAGAAAAATAAGGCTTAATTGATATTATAGTGAGTACCAATAATTTCGACTACAATAGCATAGATAGAATTCGATAATATTATGTTTCTATAAAATAGAAACATATAGGCAAGTTTATAATATTTATAACTGCAACACAAATTCAATACACAAAAAATTACTTTATCCTTTGTGGATATTATTTGTAGGCATATAAGCTTTACGCTGTAAAACTGTTTTCTATGCACAATTTTCCCCACATAATTACATTCGAACAAACACATTCAAATACAATCAGTAAAAGGCTAAACACTAAATACAATCAATAAACATATCCTATTACATAACTACAATTTAACAAATGGAATTTAAGAATTCGCAACGAATAAAATCCTTAATACCAATATAATAGCATCAATACGAACAACTAAATTTATTGTCGACATACATTTTGTTTAGGATTTGAATCATAAGAGAATATTTACAAAGCTGCAATAGAAATAATTTTACCTAATTATAAAACTATTATTTGGAAAAAGTTTCTCAAAAAAAATTATAATATCCATAATTAAAATATAATATGACTTATTATTGTCGTATATAATAAACAGTGTTCATACGATTAAAAAAAACTGAAAAATATACTGACACAGTTTTCATTGAATAGCCATTTGAATAGGAAACATAGGTAGGTACCTACTTTTAGTTATAATAGAACACGGTTGTATAATGATACGTAGGTACATCCGCCGACATTCCTCGTCTGCAGTATCCCCGGATGCGAATAAAAATTAAAAATGCTACAAGGAATTCTGATGGCGATGGGTTTGTTGTCTGGCTGATGTACGTAAAACTTGTCAGGTATCTATAATTATCTATTATTATCACCTAGTAGACAGTAGACTGTTACAAATTTTCCATCATACAACAATCAAAGCATTCTACAATCCAAACCCAAAATAGTTTTAATAGTTTAAAGTTACCTAAACATAAATTTAACTTTACATTCAAATTCTGCAAATATGAATTTCTGTTAATTGGAACTTGATTTATAGAATATTAAAAACTATTAATGTATATATGTTACAGTTAAAGTGTTGAATCAGTTCGTTTATGAAATAACTAGTTAATTCATAAAATAACTAAAACTTGTAGGTAATGTGTATAATTTATACTTTAACTAGTTATTTTATACATTCCCTGGTATCACTTCGTTAATGTGTCAAATTGTAAATAACAAAATATAATAAATATAGTTCTAACATTTTCATCAATTTAATATAACAAAATCAGATAAGATTGACCTCACCTTTTATTTTTTATTTATTCGATACCTACCTACACATTATAATTACAAGAGTGTTATTACAACTTACTATACTCTCGATCCCAGTTCACAGTTCACAGTATGTTCAGAAAATTTGTTAGCTGTAGAAGTTCCAAATAAAAGTATTACATTAAGATCTGCGGCAACTGCGCAGTCACTGGGAACTGGTCAGGGTTTTTTTAAGTGAACTTTTACCAAAACATGTGGCACGAAGCGATATGTTTGTAGAAAAAAAAAGTATTGTGCAACTCTAAATGCCATAATAGCCTTACATGAACAAATATAAATAAATAATATAACTATAATTAATTCAGTAAAATAAAATATTTTAATATATAGGTGCTTTAAATTTTAATGTATTTTATACTTTAACGGGTATCAAACTGAAATTGTATATAATAACTAGATATTCTATGAAATAACTAGTTAAAGTACAATTTTCATGTATTGTTTCATACTTTAACTAAAATTCGTAGGTAATTCATGAACTACCTAGTTAATTCATTAGGTTAGTTACCTTAAGTCCAGTACAATTATGATATACCGTTTACTGCGTAAAATGTTTATGAAAGTAAATTAATTTTTACATGAATGTTATTACACCTACTTATTTTAAACATTATACATTTCAAGTTATAATTCTCTGAACACTCACAATTATAACTCATATACGTATTATTATATTTATAATTTAAATGCCGTTTGTAATATTGGATAAATACCCATAGTTTATATTATTGTTTGTGATATTAAAATGTTTGATTTCTCTTTTCATTTATATACTTAAAAAATAATTTCAGAATTCGGTTCGAAGACACCAAAGACAAGACTATACGCTGAAACTGCTACAGGGGACTTGCCGTTTATGGACATGGACCCGAACGCATGCTTATACACAGATTGTCCCATTGTGATGAACGCCGAACAAAATTGGCTGTACAATTTATACATTACCACAAAATATCCTAAGGATGATTACACAGTTAAGTTGAAGTTCTGGGATGACGGACCTAAAGCCAATAAGAAGGACGTATGCTGCTTTAAATTCGATATTAAGATCGTTTAACTTGAATGGAAAATACTCACAACCTAAACATATATATATATTGGCACCCATAATGGCATATAATATAAATATAATACATCATTATTCGTTGTATAATTTAATATACACATGTATAACTTCAAATAATCTGCGTCTATATGCTGTACCTCTACGGCTATACCCACATTATAACAATTTATATACATAATTATCATATAATAGTAAAAAAAAATTATATATTTATATATTATACATATTATGAACTGTTGGCATTGTTATATTTTTATTTGATGTTTAACAGACTTTTTTTGTCTGGTGTGTAATTACAAAACAAAAATGAAACGTAGTCCGTCTCTGTTTGGGGACCATAAAGTACATCTCTCCGCTCGCAAACACGCACTCACACACACACACACACACACACACACACACACACATGAACTAATGTATAAAGGTGAATTGCGTCTGCGATATGACATAGTGGCGACAAACTGTTAGGTTGAGAATAATACTTCGAATAGTAATAATAATTACCTTTTGAACAATTGATTTTTAACGGTCCGGAAAGAGGAAAGTTTAATGATCCTTTGAGAGACGCACTGGGTGTCCCAATCCGAATAATAACGACGATTAATTAAAATACGCTGACGAATGCCGTACGCACATTTGGGTCGTTGTATATAAGGTGGAGTTATCTTCCGGAAACGATCACATGTTTTCGCGCAGTAGACGGGTGAGCACCGAAGCTCTAAACATGATACGTATCAATAAATTTACCCTGTTATTGGTGATGGTGTGTTCGTGTTGCGTGACCAGTATCAAGCTGGACGAGCTCAAGAACGATAAAAGTAAGTACGAAATGCCGGAAGTAGATCTCACTTATCGATATTATTATTTTCGTTAACTGTAATATACTATATAAAATATAAATTGTAACATATAAGCGTCATTTTGAGTAAAAGCAGATACCTAATTATGCCATGAGATATTCAATGTTTTTACTTTTAATCATCAATAGGATATGCAATTACAATATTAATAACATTGTTATTACTAAGTAGGGTATTAAAATATACTGTCGTACAATAATACCCATTATAATTTTGTGTATTTCTTAAATAATGATTTTACGTGTTTCTTTTCTCATAAATAATAAACATAGCTATGCCGTGTTTAAATGCTATGTAACAATAATAGTTTTAAATGACGTTACGATCTTTGCCTCAGACTGATACGCCCATATAACGCATTAACTGTACAATTACATTATTATTGACACTGCCAATATGTAAAATTAACCAACCTCCAATTGAACAGTATATATTACTATTATCATTATTATAATTAGGGGGAACGAGTTTTCGTATATAATTTCCACTCCTCCATAAACTTTTATAGATATTCTAACATCTGGTTAAATACATTTTTATTTTAAATTAGACAACAAATTAGAAAAATATTCAATTCAATATTATATTTATTAAAAAATATTTCGATAATGTCTTAGACAAATTATTTATTACTTATCCTTAAAATAATATGCCTATACCAACTTCAATAATATGTAAAATAAAATAACTTATAAAACAATCTATTAGTTCATAATAAAGTCATGAAGCGTGATGATACTCACAATATTTTATTAGTATAGAGATATCGAGTCGCTTACACCTTATAAAAAAATATGTATTTACACAACAATCCGTTCGTTAGAAGAAAATGATATTACAAGCTGTTTAAATTTTAGTTTGTTAATCTAAAAAACATTTTTAAAAGCAGTTTGAATTTTCTTGGTATACAATATCCATTATGAGTTTTTATGATTTCGAGAACAATTAATTATACATTTATGTGTTTTACTTTAGAATTGATCAAAGTTTTATAATTTTTCAACTCATGGTCTCTAATCCAATAAGTTTTGCTAGTAATGAAGTATAAATTGTCTAAATAGACAATTACCGTAAATAATGACACAACTATGCACAGTATCACAATCATTAAAGTACAAACAGTTTAACAGTTTAACAGTTTATCTTCACAATAACAATTAAATCTTAACATATCTTTATATATTATTTATATTATAATATAGCATATTATTTTACTGCCTATATTAAATTATTATTAGACAGTACGTACCTTTATTTTTTTAGTCGTATACTAGTTTATACACTAATGATTCGTATTATGATAAATTATGGACAAGACATTTCGGAGGTTTATAATATGGCCCCCAACATTGCAATTGAATAATATAGTTTATATTTTACTGCCATAATGTAGGCACTTCTGAGATAAGTTTTACTTCAAAAAAATAAAAATAGAAATAACAAATTATTCCCATCAATCCTGTTCCTGTGTATTGATTGAAATAAAAAGTTATGTTGTAAACAAATTTGGAAATGTATCATGCAATACGGACATTATTGACAAAAATCAGTAAGCTATATAAGTAGTACCAAACTACCTTAAGTATCTACTATACATAATTACACATACATATTATAATACATTATTCAGGTGACAGTACAGTTCAGGTACACTCGTACCAACTTTCGGCGCTTCTTTAAACATCTATAAAAAAAGGAAAAAAAACACTATAATTTCAGACCTGTTATATCAGAATCTATTTAAACCAGATCAGCTGGGTAAGAGCGGCGGCAGTAGCATACCGTCCACGAGGGCCGCCTCCAGACCCTCGTCCGGCGACCGCGACGGCGCTCCGGGACCGATGGCTAAGCACGCCGTCAACAAATCGTCGGCGGACGGTGAGGAGACGACGTCGAAGACGAGAGCTGTGCCGGCGGACGCTCAGCCGAGCGCCCTAAAGAGCACGATGAGTGAAAAACGGGCGGATAAGTGTAAGGAGAAGTGTCCGGCCAACATCAAAGAGTGTTGCCGAAACGCCATAGCAGGTATGTGCCTGACAATAATATACGATATAATTATGATGAGCGGCTGTATAGGTGTTTAAAATGAATGTTTTGTATTTTGTCCCGAACTATTTTTTCAACGTTTTCGACATCGATTTAAGGTATCATAATATTGCTTGTAGAACGATTTGCTATTCAAGCACTTCGGCATATTGCCTTGTACAGTTGTACCTTAGTTATGTACAGCTCGTGTGCCTATTTATATTTTAAAAACATGATTCCGGAAAATTAATAACATCGTACTATGTTATACCTATATTTTATATACGATTATTACGATTCAAGTCAGGTATTTTTTAGTTTTTACGAAGCTCAAAATAAAACTATGAAATATTTCTTGAAAATTATTTACTATTAAATGTAGGTAAATAAAGTTTTTTGGTTTTCACTTAGACGTTTCAATCTTTAGACTTCACGAATGACTGACGATTCTTCTATATTGTGGTTTCGATAATAATATATTATTTAAAAAATACTTACGCAAGTATGTATGCCAACATAAGTTATATCTAGTATGTGATACATGTTTGACGCGTATAAAATATATATGATTATTATAATATGGTAATAATATGTACACATTGTGTTATACCATAAATAGATTTCTATATGAACGTCGAACACATAATAATTACGTTATCTTCGGTTACAAGCAAAATACCCAATATAGTGTGTACACTGTACAATTTTGATACATTTCACTCTTGTTGGAACATCGGAATTTAAGAGGCAGTGTTAGTGTATAAATACTGATTTAAATGTACCTCATCATGAGTAAGAAAAATAAAATAAATAGATATTTCGTTTGTTCCCCGAGGCCATAATATTATGACAAATTGTGTATATTGTGTATACCTATACAGAAAAGTGCCTATCTATTATATAGATTCTATATTCGGAAAAACCATTCGAACACCAGTTATTATTTCGAAATGTAGAACTCTTTCTTTTTCCATATCTACTCAATGCACTTTAAACCACATATTTGACCGGGAAGTTAATAAACTTTGATTTGTGCCGCAGAAAAGAGTTGCCACAACGCCACCGATGACCCCGTATCATATTTTGTCAACCCAAGCTATCCAAATGAAGACTGGGACTCTTCTTTTTGCGACTTCCGTGTGGATATCAAGAACAGAAATGTGTGTCAACTGAGGTAAGCGATTTCATTAATTATATCAAGTGTCGAGTGTTAATGTAACGATGACATTGACACTCGACACTTGATGTTATTCGTTACACAATATTAACTACAATATAAGGTCAAATAGGGGATGATAGGAGGTGGGGTGGTACTTAGAGCAGTTTTAAAATTAATTTATAAATTACGGATGTGACTTAACCAAATTAATATAATAACCTGGCCTTATTCAATTTATTAATAAGAATATATATCATGCTTTCATATTTTTTTTGTGACTGTCCCAAATTACCTTAAGTAATAGGTGATAAAACAAACTTGAACTAGTCATAAAATTATATAATATCCTAGTTCTACTATTTAGAGGTGTGGTATCACATGGCACAAATAATAAGTTTTTAATGTATAAAATGAGGTAATTGGAAAAAAGTAGCCGGAAATTATAATTTAATTGATTGTGATTAAGTATTTTGTATTCATAATTCATATAATAAAGAAAAATTTCCTAACTTTTTAACAAAAATAGTTATAACTTAAAGTCATAAGGAAATATATCTTCTTTAATTAGCTCATTATCATTGATCGTTTACTTTCAATAATACATTAGACATTAGTACATTATATAAAAGTACTTTATTATTAAGCCTTAAATATTTTTTTAATTAAAATTATTATGTATTTATTTTGATTTAATTTTTTAGTTTACTACCTAATATTAGTTATTACAGTGCACACAATTTATTGATAATTAACACTAATTTTTCAGTTATGTTTTTCCCGGGCATTCATCAATCTGATTTGTGCCACGCTCATCAGTTGCACAGTGTTAACTGTTTGTTTTAAATTGTTACTTACAAAAAAGTCTTGGTTTTATTGTTCAATATTTAAGTATGTTATTATGTAGGTACTTGAAAGTTCACAAAGATAACTTCTTATACAAATAATTTAGATACCAAGTTAAAAGTTTGTACCATAATAGTTAAATCTTAAAAATAATATTATCTAGATCTGGACTCTAGAGTGTAATGATAATATATTTCCCGCGTGTAAAAAACTTTTTCCTCAACACTTTTTTTACAAAACTTTACACGATTGTCGATTGCAGTTTTTATTAGTTATATACTTGTATAAAACGTAGTTAATACTAACAACACGTCAACATGTTATTGTTTTGTCATTCCAGATTGGACCTGGAAGAGTTTTCGTTGAGGGGACCACACAAGTACTTGGGTAGTTGTCGACAAGACCGTCTAATCATATCTACCACATTGCCGAATGGCATTGGAATAACCGAATTGTGCGGAAATAACACCGGTCAACACTGTATGCAATTTTTTTCAAATAACTTGAATAATCGCTTCCTTAATACTCGATCCTCTATTATCAGTCCATTCACGTAGAATTTAACAAAATTGCATTTATAAATCTGAAACCGTGAGTTTTACGTGACGAATGTCATAAGGAAAACGTGTTGATAATATTTTTCTTTTCACGTTTTCTAATATTAATGAACAGCTCGTTCATAATAATATTTAGCTCTAAAAAAAATTACAATTACAGGGATTTAATCATATAATAAACCATTTACCAATTTAGAATTTAAATTATACTCTGTCCGAAAACAGGTGAGTTTTCACCTGGGCGAAATTCCTAGAATCACACATCGTTTGGGAAAATTTATAATGTCGTTTGGACGAATTTATTTAGATATGTCGTTTGGCTGAAAATTGAAATTGATATCGATGGGTACGTTACATGTATAATTCATTTTCCATTTTAGACGTTCAAGACTCTCAGTTAGTTTTAACTGGTATGGTTCAAAATATTTCTTGTGCCAATTCATATAAATGTTATATGGTATTGGCTTATAATTTTCGTTTATTTGTATAAAAAAATATCGTAAAAAAGCCAAACATATTAACACAAATAATTTTCTTAGCTTTGAGTTTGATATTAGATTACTTAATTTCTATTAATTTCTTTAATTCACTATAATATTAAGCTAACAACAATAAATCGATGTTTAACACAAATTTGCTGTTCGTCAGAAGATGAATACAAAATATAGTGTGTGCTGACACCTCGTGTTAAATACAAATTTACCAAAACGATGGATGCAATTACACCCTAAACATGATTCCATATTTTTATTATGCGTATAATAATATACGTGTTTTTGTTTCCAGTGTATTTCCCGGTTGACCCTAAAGCTGGTGGCTCGTCTGTAGCACTCATGATGATGACGTCGCAGTCTTCAAGATATTCGTGGAAGGTGCGTATCACCCAAATCGACTGCCTTGCCGATCCTCAGTCCGTCGGTGAGTTAATGTTTGATCAATCGATAAGTATTTAAATAAGATATTAAACTTTTATATAATATTTGCACACGTTTTCACATGCTAGCAAACAGTCTTGAAGTAAAACAAATATACCATGTCAATTGTATATATTGCAATCGAAAATATCGTTAAATCCTAGAAATATTATTGCACATAATATAAAAGTAACCCATATAATAAATATATAGGTTAATGCCTAAATTTATGACATTTAATTGATATGTAAATTCCAATATTGCCTATAATATTTTTAAATTCATTAGATGTAGGCACCTACGACCTACGCAATCTATACCTTGTAATATCGCATACCTTATACTTATATCTACATGGCGCAAACAATCATTATTCGTTTTAAAATATTAGCTTGATATTATGCTGATCTTACTACGAAGTATGCATAGTAATATTATATACCTATAGGTAGTAAGCATCATATTATACGATGTTTATCTATTATACTTATATAATAGGTATATCATTCACGTTTTATAATAATAACTTGCAGCAATGTAACCCCTCTCCCCCGGTGCTAGACATGGCATCGTGTCTGAGATCTCCAGAGCAAATTAAAATATAATATACCTTTACCTGTTTGTGCCCGTTTGCACTGTAGCGCCTACCGGATGTCTACAATACCATACCAGCCTCAGCGGCACCATACAGAGCTTCAACTACGCAGGCGGTATGTACCAATCAGGACTTGACTACGCGGTGTGTATCAAACGGTCGGTGAACACTTGTCGGGTCGAATTCCAGCAGGTGCCCGGCTCTACGTTCGGTATAAACTCTATGGAAGGTCAGTTCATGAAATAATATATTATTATAATTGTATCAGTATATTATTATCATGGATACTACCTATATAATCGGGAACCGGAATCGCCCCGTATTCAAATAATAAGCGCTTTGTAGTGATACACTTATCAATGAAAAATGTTTATTCGTTTGTTCTCGCTGTTTCGAAACGATAACATCCGTAACGTTTCGTATATGATATGATATGATATGGACGTGTGTAGCTGGAAGGAATCTGGTTGTAAAAACCAAATTTGTCCCATATAAACTACGTCAATAATAATTGTTAAAAACTTAACAACATTAATACTTAGGTAGGAGTGTTCTTCAGTAATAAATAATAACAATCAATGGATTGTTCTATTCGTATTGCAATATTGTGTAAAACGTAACACTAAGTGATTTTTTACTGTTCATAATATGACCGTTGAAACTTGCTTTCATTCCTATTTAATTCAATTTAATATAAATAGGTATTTTCAATTTTCTATGGTAAAAACAAAACTTGATCACGCTCGATAAACGGTACACACAATTTTGAACCGATATCATAACCGACAAGTTCACTGCATTATAATAATATCTACATATACAGTTGATATATGGAAAAATAACACTCTTAAAATAATCTTTTATGTTTATCTGTTAATTAATATTGCCTATATTCCTATAATTGTCTTTCATTACTGCAGGCTTTGATCGAAATCTATCCTATTAAGTTTGTCATACAATTGATGCTGTGTGGCCTATTACTTATACAATACAAAACATAACATTATAACTATTATGTATAGGCAATAAATAACAAGCATTATTCAGAGGCGAATTATAGTTGACGATATTTCATTTGGCCTGGTTATAAAAACCCAAAATCGTTAATAGGGGACTGGGACACGTGGTCCGTGTCTATGCTGCTTAGTGCTTACTCGACTCGGAGGTGGATGACGCGAGAGCGCATATAATTACAATAAAAATAATATCTGGTTGTCCGTCTAGACTTTTAGAAATGTAGAATAGGTACTAATAAGTTATTCCGGTAGGGTTATATGGCAGGTACCAGCTCGCGTTCGTCCTTGTATAGGATTTTCATTTTGGCGGCCTAAAACCACTACTTACAATTATAGGTTCAGTAGATAATCACCCACACACGCTCATGCCTATTTCTCTCGTTGTATGTACTTTGGAACGCACTCTATACTATTATAATATAATTTTCTGTATATTCTGAAGTAAATACTATACGCGGAACGACGTATCGTTATCCGATGAAATCTGAACTATAATGGATTGACTGCAACCAGTGCAACCGCATATGTACGTATACGTATATATATATATGGTTTGAAAAACTCGCAACTTTCGAGAGCCAGGCTGTGTGCTTCCCACGACATTGGGTAACAAATAAACTGTTCTCTATTCATTTACCGTGTTCAATAAACTATAAACTTCTTATTTTCCCTCTGCGGTGAGTCGGTGACCAAACATCCGACTTTTTGCATTCCCTTCGAACGTAAATGTAGGTAATAGGTATAACGTATACACTATATGCACTAGCTATTAGCATATAGATTATAGACACTAGGCAATGTAGCTACAACAGTACATAATATTATGGTCATAAATATGTGAATATTGCATTTTAATATACATTAATATATTATGCTATACATTAAAAATGCCAAGATTTTAAAATACTGTATTATTTACGAAAAAAAGTGGTGATCGCATGCTGGGTGAACTAACCTGTATAGTGTATACCTACTGGTGTACCTATATATACCCTCGCATAAAAAAAATCATTGAAAACTCTTAAACATTAGCATATTCATGTATATTGCGTGCTTATATAATCCTATATATAAGCACGTTATATATAACTGGCTAGTTTATGTATGCAAGTTCACTTGGGTATAATATAAAATAATAAACGTGTACCTATGCTTGTTTGATGCAGGACCGTCGCTCGAAGAAGGCATCGGACGGGCGGGAGAAGTGAGTTGTGATCTCGTTACACATGACTACTTGCACATTCCCGGAGGTATGTTGGACATTGGCGAGGAGATATTAGCGGCTACTGGAAACGTGGAGGTGTATACGCCGACGGCGGAAAAATTCTGCGGACGGAGTTTGTCAGGCCTTGCCATTCAGGAATTTGCAGAAAAAATCAAAATAAACGACCCTCTGGGCGCACAGGACAACAACACAATTGCAACTCCGGTGACGTGTAAGTAATCGATCCTCTATCTATTTTTTATAAATCACCGTAACGCATGGAGAAAAATACAATATTATTAAACTATTTAATAAACAACTAAAACTTAGTTGTATTTTATATCCGCTCGTCGATCTGTGGGAGGGAGGATTGGTCCCCACAAGAAAGTAGGTACCTGTTGACCTGTTGATATCAAAATAACTAAATTGGTAAACCTCAAAAGTATTTGGATCAAATAAAAATATCAAATAATATTAGTATTGTAAATAGCAGATGACATACCTACCTAATTTCATATTTATTGATGAATGTAATTGTATAAATGAAATGCTTTAATAAAATGTCCAATCAATAAGATATTATTGTATACCATGTTGAATATACAAAAATGGCTTACCTATTATTTTATTAACTATATTCTATTAGCCTATAGGTAGAATTCCATATTTTTTCAAAGTATACTGATCAAATAGTGATCAAAGTATTAATAAATGCTACAATTTAGATACTTATAAAATATATATTATACTACTGCAGTTCTGCAGGACCTATATATCACCGACTCCACCCGAGAAAAAATGAGCGAACATATAAAATAGGACGCTATATCGGTGGATCTCGATTTTAGTGTACCTACCTAAAGTTACCAAAGTTAACGGGAAAATCGACATTGCTATTATACCTTGTTAACTAATTCATCCCAGATAGGCAATCCGCCTGCGGTGGATAAGATATAGTAGTTGAATGTTGGTTTATTTTCTAACCTTGGTCAAACTACTAAACTCTTTTGATATCTCTAAGAAAAGTCTCAGAAACTTTCGTCAAAATCGATCCAATAGTTTTTTAGTCTATAAGTTACAAGCATAAGAACATTGCATTTTGTTGTATATTTGAAAAGTAACAATAAATGTTCTTAATATAGTTTTATTTTATTTTAAAGGTTAGTTCGTTATAGTCCATATCAATTTTTAAAAAAATATTTATTCTGTAGCTTATAACAAGTCTATATATATTCATTATACAGGTGTACAAAAAAATATTTTACGTTCATGAGCCAAAACAAAACAAATGCTTGAACCACCAACTTCGCCAACTTACAGGAGTCGGTTTTAAGAATAATCTTAAAACACCCTCTGGCTCTCAATTAATTAATTTATTGAAGTCTGTCCAGTAGTTTCTGAGATTAGAGCGTTCAAACATATACAAACACTTCAGCGTTACAATATTAGTATATACTTACTATATATTGATATGAGTTCAATTTTTTTATGTTTAGTATGCTGTTTTTCTGCAGAAAAATGAAATGAAATGAAATTGCAACAACCACTAAGTATACCCTCCCATATACACCTGTATACTGTATAGTAGCAACGAGAGTGATTTGTTTTAAAAGTAACACTGGAAGAATAGGGTTTTTAAATTTTAATTTAGAGAGAAACATACAAGATGTAAATTTATGAAAACCGTGGAAAGTAAATCGTCATAATAAAATGCATAATAAGCAAAAGTTAATTTAGTGTTAAATTATAAAGGTATTTTGTTTTTAATGATGTGATTCGTTGTTTTCATAATGAGTAATGACTGCTGAATAATAAAAACATCATAAAATCCAAAACGTCATAACACTATGCCACTATAGCAGGTACTGTACATAGGTACATACAGTATACGTAATATACTAAACTATAGGTAGGTACCACCGTATATATATACGTGTATATAATAAATTAGTCTCTCCGAGAAAACGTTGAAAAACAGTAACACTCAAATTGGAAAAAAAGTTATGTGAATAGTAGTTTTTTAAAGACAATTACCGCAAAAACGAAAGCGACTGAACAGTTAGCCAAATCAACGTTGTATGTTTATTATTGTAGCCTTGTAGATAGCCCGCTAGAATCCATGGAACTCGGTAATTTACGGTTTCAAAAAATACAATAAATTAATTTTTACGTTTCAGCTTATGCATCTGGACCGATCATAGTCAGATTCCATACGGACAGTGTAACCGTCAAAGAAAGAGACATTGGATTCTCGATCGCCTACCAACAACTCGGCACAGGCTGCAACAAGAACAAAATCAGACGATGATTTCTGAGTTCCTCTCTTTATTGCGTGTTCAAAATATAATTTATTGGCGATCAGATATAATCTATAATATACGTGTATATATAAATATTTTAATAATTTATTTGTTAATTTTTCCTTGTATAAATATATGATTAAAAAAAAAGAAAATCCGATTGTACCTATATTATGTTTGTTTCATTTTTGACAATAATAACTGAAAGTACAATTTTATTGTTTGTTATTGATTAATTTATTGTTATATAACACCTATATATGCACTAATATTTGATATGGTTTTGCGTAAACTATAAACGAATCTATGAATCTATATGTTCCGACATTAGGAAGTTTCTCCCAGGAAAAGATAAAAACATCAACGTATGAAAATTAAAAAATTATCTCTAGTCTATATTTTTTTTAATTAAAATTAAAAATAGTTTTTTTTTCAAAATTAAACTAACTAATTTCAGAAATCTGTTTTAAAAAAAAATTATATTTATTCCGATTTTTCGATTCAGTCATCGCATTCAGATTTAAGTTTATTAGAGTAAATAATTATTTGTTTTCTATTGCTCAGTGTCTTATCAATACCCTATGAAAATTCCCGTGTGCGATTATATTAATGGCATATATACACTATTGCTCTTTTAAATACATTTTCTGATTATCCAAATCCCAATTGTTTGGCCAGTGAAAATTTGTAATGCCATCTAATATCTATAAGTGTACATCAAATTAATACAAATAAATAATAGTTAAAGTTTAAACTATAGGTAGTATATTCTAAATTCACCTTTCAGAAGTAGAAGTATTATTTGTTCGTCCAATTTCTAGTTGTGTTTCGGAACTCATATTTTAATAGAGCGGATGAGGAAATGTTGGTGGAGTTCGTACGAGTGGTGCAGAATGCGTATGTTTGCATATGTTTTATATTTTCCATTTACAAAATTTGAATCAAAATAATGCAATACTTTTGTATTATTATACGCATAGGTTAGATACGCATTATATTATATGTATGAATTATGATCATGTTCGCCCTATGCCACCGAATACAAAGCTAGAGTGAATTCGCCTATTACCAAACTTTAGGTTAANTATGTGACTGTGCGTGTGTGTGATTCGGTCGGTGGAGGAGTGGTGGTACGAGGTAATATAATAATAATAATATTTATTCGTTGGCTTGGACAAGTATACTACGGACAAAACTTTAAAAAAAAAAAACGTTACAGATAATAACATAATATTATATAAAAGTCAATGACAGTATAAAATACAATACAAACATAATATATATACCACAACAAATTAAAAACTAACATTTTAAACTATATTAATTTCGAATTTTATTTTTAATATTTAAACACTATTTGAACTTTTGAAACAGGTGAATAATCAAATTCAATGGAATGTCAATAGATTTAAATTTAAAAGTATGTACAACTATTTCAAATCAGTACAGTTCTTCCGTAATCTATGCCCATGCGCATTAATAGTTTCTACCAATTCTGCTAGCTATCGCACGTATGGCACCGTCTAATCTTATAAACAACACGTACGACTTAATATAGTAATATACTATGATATAAGCACCAATTAAGATAGTACTAAATAGAAACTATCTTAATTTGTGGTTATAAGTGATAAGTGTATTATACTAATTTCTATCTTGGCTAAATTCACTGGTTCTCAACTTGGTTATGTGTGTGTTACATCACGCTGCCTGATTGGAAGTGTTGTCCACCCACTGCAAAACGCAAACAATCCTACGTCATAATCAATGAATTAACCATAATAATCATAGTAAAAATATTCCTACATCGGCTGTAGGATATTTCATTTAAGATGAGAACGTATCAATGTATTTAGCCATGATCTATATTGCAATTACGATAATATTATAATCTATAAGACTATAAGCATTTAGAAGATGTCAATTGTCATTTGTCAATCGCACTATTTGTTTTCTCTCTCTCTCTGACCCACTAGCAACATAGCAAATTTACATTTTACTGAACCATGTGTTTAATACTAGAGTGAATTCGCCTATTACCAAACTTTAGGTTAAGAACACTACCTGTAGCCATATGTTGGCTATTTTATGGTATTTAATCTTTGTGTAAGTCATGAGCGTGCAAATGTTTGCAATTTAAAAATGCTTATAAATTGTATAAAAATTAAAATATCGTAAAAAGACGAAAGTGGCGACCACGTGTAATATTCTTAGTTTAAAGTTTAATATTAAAAGTAATGCAACACACGGTTGATTCTGCAGCAAAATACAAATTTGGTATATAACACACGAGTCAGAGAGAGAAGAAAAATGGTGCCCTGACATCTTCTGATAAAAATAAGGAAAAAAATAAACATATGAAGAGTGAAGACTAGAAAAAATCTACTGATTTAGATATAATAGTTTAGATATATCTACAATCCTCGTGTCTATAAGCCATAGGGATACAGAGTAAAGCAGCAGAAAAGGTAATTTTAAGTAAAATGTATTATTTAAAGTAAAATAGATAATACCTATAGGCTATAATTATGTTTGTCAGAAACTTATTGATACGCATGACCCCTGCAGAAATATGACCGCACCCAACCATAAGTTTATAACAGTGTCATGCCACCGCCTGCTACTCATGCTCAGTGTCAGTCGCTCAGGTAATAGGTAGTGTAGCGGAATAATGTTGGTTGTTATGTGGTTGAATGTCGATTGTGATTAATTGCCTTTTTTTACATTTTACTACTCCTACTATAAAATTATTATTAGTAAGTTGCTAGTGTTGCTACTTGCTATAGTTATTGGTTAACATTTTATAAAATTACATTGATTTTTATTTGTGAACATGAAGGCACCCGGAGTTATATCTCTGATTGCCATTACTTTATCAGTGGGTAAATAAACTATATACAAGTGACAACTGTTTTCCAACGTGTGGTTTTAAATAAGTATTTTTTTCACGTAAAGGTTTCTCAATATTCAATGAATGGGAAAAAATCGTAGAAATATTTAGTGAATTATCAGGAAACAAACCAATGACAGCAGGCGGGTTTAATGATGAAGTGTTTGAAATATTGCGACGAGAAAGAGAAGCAGAAGAACAAAGTACAGAAACAAAAAAAATAAAGACAATATCAAACGACATCGGAAGATAATTAACATCTAAAATGTATTGTATATATATATTATGCTTATTACTTTTAATACACTAAATTTAAATCACATTAAAAACCGTGTTTTTATAACTAATTAAGGATAAAAACATCTTTTTTAATGTGATTTAAATTTAGTAGAAGATGATCAACTTCTAAAATGTATTGTATATATATATATTATGCTTATAAGTTATAACTTTTAATACACTAAATTTAAATCATATTTAAAAAACGTGTTTTTATGCTTCATTAGTTATAAATTTATTATTATTAAGAGAACGTTATTTGTTGCTTCTAGCTGTCTTACAAACGTGCATCATGGCAAGTTATAGGTACATTCATAATAATATATTTTGGTATATAACTCTGTAACTTCTAAAATTAGAGTGAATTTACCTTTTATACAATTTTAAGACAAAAATATTATCATTCATCTAGGGCTTCTCTGAGGATTTTAATGATATTACTGTTTTTAAGTAAGTTATTCTAGTTTTAAACTGTACATTGTTTGGTTATAACATTGTAGTCATAACTTACTTAAAAATAATAATATCAATAAAATCTTCCAAGACGCCTTAAAAAATATTATTACCTTTAAATTGTACAAGAGGTATTATTCACTCTAATTTTAGAAATTACAGAACACAATGTGTTATTGAGAACGTAACATTTGTCATGTTGTATACACGTTTTTTGTAAGACGGAGACAACTGCAAATGCCCGAGTAGCGTCTTCATTAATAATAATAATAATAATATGGTAGGTAGTAGGTACATGTTTAATTGTAATTTTTATAAGAATCGTAATGATAGTAAACTAACCAGAAATATTTTATAAATAAAAAATAACACTAATGACTAATGAGTAAGTTAATCAAAAATGTCCAAACCATAACTTATTGAGCCATGGTCCAAACATTTTAGTTAAGTACCTACCCAATATTCATTTTGTACATTCTATTTCATTAGACTTAACCTATCAACAGACAAAAAATTAAAATCGATAAGTATTGTAATAGTATAAATTAATATCTAGTCTCATAATTATCTATATTTTATTATTCTATTATATTGCTGTATTTGTAAATATTATTGTCTTCTGTTTAATTGTTATCTAGAATGTCGTACTATTTTAATCTGCATTATACATAGACAGTGTCATAATATAGTACCTACCTACTTGTTATCTGTACTGTTTACTCTAATGCTATACATAAAAAATGGAAAACCCGTATATTTTCAATTTTGTAATAAATAATTTGTAACTATTGCGGGAACATTCATGAAGTTAAATTATTTGTAGAAAAAATAACAACATTCATCAAAAGTGTTAAAATTGAAGATAGACCAGGTATTTACACCCGTTCTTGAATCGCAACGAAAAACTGGATTTATAGTCAGTTTAAATAGTATTCTACAGTTATATACTTTATATGTAGAAACTGATGAAGTACAACATATGGAAATTTTTAAATTTAGCCAAGATCACCTTGAATTATTTTTTGGTAGTTTAAGGGCCCAACAATAATCTAACAGTGAGGCAGTTTCGTTCAGCATATCGGAAATTGCTCTATGGGTTGTACACGCGGCCATATAGATAGGTCTGGCAACTCAACAGCGTTTGTATGTGCCATGTGGTCAGGATGTGCTGTTGTTGTTGTAGTCACATCAGGAGAATGCTTAGTGGCGCTATTAACATTCATAATATAGAATTCTAAGTATTACACACTTACTATTTTGGTAAGATAGATGGCGAAACAATCATAATATACAAGCTATCATCTTTAGGACATATTATGGTCTTGAATTATATAACTATCTAAAAATATTATTTATTAAATATTAATATTATAAATTATTTGAGTAGGTATCCAATTTATGGTGAAAATTAGTTAATATATAGTTTTCTTGTTCTTTAGTTTCTAGCTCTTGAAAATAATAAATTTAATAATGCCTATTGCCTAGAGTATGTGTAATATGTAAAGAAAAAAAAAATGTTTTAACACTTGGTAGAGTGCCGATCAATTTAGCCCAAAAATGGCAAGATGTTTTTGGTAGGTACTCGAAAAACATTAATTCTAAAATCTGTAAGCCGTGGTTGTACCACAGAATAGATTAAATGTACCTAACCTAACCTAATAACCTAACCTATAACGAGCGTCTCGGGAGCAAAATTGCGCAACCAATCAGAGGTGTTCACATTTCTTATCAATATTTGTTAAAATCACATTTCTTATCATTCGTTATACAAATATTATAACATGATAATAATTTATATTGTAAATTGTAATATGCGGTGAATGGTAATATATAATATATTGATATTATTTTAGTTACAAACTTAGTACTTCAGTTACTTCACTTTTACTTGCAATAAGGGACGATAATACTCCTATTCCAGCTTCTAATTGGTTTTTTATTTGAATTAATTGTTCATGTTCTTTGTCCGTATTTGTTTTTACTATTGATTTTTCAATTAAATTTATTTCTGCAGCAGGAATTAGAATTTTTTTTTCTTTTTCACACAAATTATTTTGAGTATTTGATACAGAAAGATTAGCACAGGCATGAATATGCTTGCATATATTTAATTTAATTATATAATCACTACATTCACAAGTATAATTATGAATGCATATATTACACATGCGACAAACTAATCGACAGTCTTCAGTGTTACACACATCTATAGTGTGAATTACTTCATATGCCATATTTGTTTTTTTAGCAGATATCTCCCAACGATTATCATCAATTACTTTAATAGTTTCAGGGTTTATTTGTACTCCAATATTATGACTCTTAATTATATTTTCTTCTTTAGCAGTATATTTATTTTTAACCAATTTAATAAACCTCTCAAAAATTGTATTTCTTGTGAATTTCAAAAGCGCATTTATACAGGTATCTAATCGCTTATTTTTTTTACCATGTAAATAATAATATTTTAAGCACTTATGCACTGACTCCAAGTACATGTTTGTGTTAATACCACAGTTTCTTCGGTGAATATTTAGTAAATCGCATTTACCATGAAGAGTTGCAAACGTTTTTTGTTCATTTAGTAATCTCACACCATGGTCTGACTCTATATGACATTTTAACATTTTTTTGTTGGTGAATAATTTATGACACGACAAATCAGGGCATTGCACGCTATTAATATTTTTTGATTCCTTAGATCCACAAGTAATTGAATGTCGCTTTAAAGTTCTTTTGTAACTGAAATATTTATTACAAACTAAGCACTTAAGCTCTTCCATGTTACCGGTTCCAATTTCCAACTCTTCCATATTATTATTATAATTAAAAGTAATTACCTAATAATAGTTAATAATAATATTAATAATTAAGTATAACACCTGTAAGATTATATCACAGAATAAAATAATATCAATATATTATCACCTCATTGTCAACAAAGATAAGAAGTGTGATTTTAACAAATATTGATAAGAAATGTGAACACCTCTGATTGGTTGCGCAATTTTGCTCCCGAGACGCTCGTAACTAGCACAGGACTAGATAGCCGACTCCTTACGATCATTGAAGTCTGGCAGCCATATGCAGTTTGGGCAATGTTTACACTTTGTTATCATTATCAATCATTGTGATAAGTAATTTATTATAAAAAATCGAATTTCAATTTCAAACATTTAGCATCACCTATGACCTATTAAGTATTAATATTTAATTATTATTATTCTATTTGTCTAAAATTAATATTTATCATTGTATAACACTCCAGTACTACTACTGAGTGCCCACTGCCAGTGGTGTATATTGGCCTGTACAAATTTAGCACTTGCACCACCAGAAACTGAACATAACATTTACATAAGGTTATAAAATTATTGTAAAAAAAAAAATACGATTTAAAGAACCTACATTTTACAATAAAAAAAATATAGTTATACAATTAAGTACAAAATATTAATTAATACATAATATAAAATTACCAAGTTAATGGTTAGAAAATAAAATTAATTTGTTAAACTTATGTCTTTTACTTGTAGTATTTACTAATGCTGAATAATGTTTACCAAATGATTTTAATCTCACACTTAAATACCTATTTATTAGCAAGGAAATCAAAATCATTTTATGGGGTCGTTCCAAAATACTGCTGTTACAATCTAATTTACTAAATATATTATAGTCAAGAGACAACTTATTACTACATTGATACATTATTTTTTTATTTAAATCAGGTATGTTAAGGGTTGTAAGATTATTAGTTAAANTTTAGTACATTTATTGGAACAACAATTAACATGGACTTATGATGATAATAGACATAAATATCTCTCTGTGTTATATAATTATCAAATATAACAAAAGCTATTAATATATATTAGATATTAATATTCAATTTATAATGTATACAAATATTTTGTATTTACATGTGTTTGTTTAATGATAGCACAAGTCAATTCATTTTATTTTATAACAATTAATAAGCGTTTTAAACAGAATAAAAATCCAAAATAGCTATAATTTTGATGGTTAAATGTAATTAGATCAAATTATCCATGAAGTAAAATAAAAACTTAAAGTAATTAAAATTTACATATATTAAAAAATGTTAAGAATTCTAATCAAAAAATATTTCTTATATAACTTAAAATGTTAATATGTAGGTAATATATATATTTTTTAATTATTTCAGCATCAAATACAAGGTTAGGTTATCTTAAAAGTTATTCGGATAGTTTTGATATTTACATTTGGCTTATAAGTTATAATATATTAAAGTTGTAAGTACACCTATATTTGAATTTTTTTTAAGAAACTAATTATTTTATTTGTATCATATAATTGCTTTATTTGCTCCAAATATGTTGTCTACAATGAGATATTCTTCTCTAGCCTTTGTTAACTTTTTTGTAAGGTTATCCAGCTTGTATATACTTGGTGCCATTTTGAGTTCCATAAATTAGTACACAGTAAATAGTAATACAGTATATACGTGTATCTTCAACATTCAAGTGTGTATGAACTGGTGACAAAAAGAAACATAATAAGTCACAGTTAGGATTATTAACTAATAATAATATATTATATTATGAATAAATACAAATTATTATCTAATTATATTTACACAGTCAATCTAATTTTGCTAATTATTAATTATTATAATATAATATTATATAATATATATTATTATTTATTACATACATACCCAATAAAATTATAAAACTTCTATATATAATAATAAAATAAAGAGTTTTGGAGGTTAATTGATAGTGTTTGAATAATTTGATAAATACAAATTTCAATTGTTAATTTAGGGATATGTAAACATTAAGTGGTAAGGAATTAATACAATAATTATTCCCTGTAGTCGGCCTGTACAGTAATATGTTTTAAATAAAGGCGCCATAATCGTTGCTCACGAACCGATTGCATGAATCCGAACCAACACGAACAAACACGAATGCACAACTGCAGTATGCACAAAAACACAAGGCGATGCACATGCGCGAACTAGGACGAAAACACGGTTCGTGTTGAGCATACTTCTTATTCCTTATACTATGTTTATTATAATGGATGATACGATATGATAACAACTTTGTTTTTGATAATAACAAAATGATAACGACGGTGGTGGTCTAATCGACTGCGTATAGACAGTCCCCTTTTTAGCACGGTTTTTAACTATCATAGCTTTTTAGTATAGGAATAGGACATCATTATATAGGACAATCATTCCACAGTATTACGATATGAAAATAAACTGATTACACCTGTAAAAGTAGTAAGTATAAACCACATACAGCTACAACTTACAACTTTAGTTTTCAGCTCGGACATACATAGTGGTTTCACATTGGACTTATAAATAACTATTGCGTATTATTGTTTATTATATTAAATTGTTCGATAATCACTTCAGTTTCAGATTCAGACGTTCAAGAAAGATAAGTCAGAATAGATTAATTTATTCTGAGGTTCAGTCTCCAGTTGCTACTTGCTCTTGTACTATTTTAAATAGTATAGTGTTTCATTAAATCACTTTAATTTGTATTTTACAAACATGGACAAGACAGTAGCGCTAAGGAATGGCAGTAGTATATTGCTTTTGATTTCAGTTCTCCTAGGAGCTGGTAAGTAGACTACCTACAAATTTCAACTGTTTTCCAACATTTTGTTTAAACCAAACCTAACTTAAAGGTATCCAATTATGGCAGAATAGAGAAACAATTCTAGAAAAACTAAAAAAAATGTTTAACCAAAGAAACAAAACAAAACATCCAGAGATGTATGATTTTTTAGCAGAATTGCTTGAACGAAAAATTGAAGAGGAAAAAAATAAATGAAGACAATATCAAATTCCACCAGAAGATGATACACCTTTAAAGTATATTATATATTTTTTATTTTTATAACATTGAGTTAAGAACATTTTAATTATAATTAAAAATTATAAATTAGTTAAACCGTTCATGATATTTATTTTATTGGAACACCTAATAAATAGTAAATCCTCTTGGTCCATGATAAGTAATATCAGAATCAGAATGATACAAACTAAGTAGGAATATTTTCTAATAGATGATAAATAATTACACTTATGAATTGGTTTGATGATTAAATTAATGAGCATTGTCTAATTCACTTCAATTTACATTATGCGTGTCTTCTAAATTACTACTACCTAAAGTACTAAAGCTACAGGAAAGTAATATTATCTACAAATTGATGAGGTATGTCTTATACTCTTATTATCATAAGCATAACTAGAGAGGGGAAATATAAGTTAGGCCCCTTCAGCCCTAGAATTTTTTATAATAAGTTAATTATTATGTAGAGGGCTCCTCTCTCCCCCCCTCCCCCCATAAAGAAAACTTGTTATATAAATTATCAATAAATGTACTATTAATATTTTATTTTATTTTTAAAATGCGTGTGTATAATACAAATCTAAAAAAAGTGGTAAGAGGATGTAAAAATTAAATTATAAAATATATTATTTTAGTTACAAATTTATTCAAGCTTTTTATTTAATTTTCTTAAAATATAAGTGAAAGTTAATGCATTTTTTTGGTTTACATAATACATAATACATTAATCATTACTGATTAAGCATCCACTCAATGTTACCATATCTTTTTAAAATGTCTTCTTCATTTAGAAAAATTGATGAATCTATTGCAATTGCTTTAGTAAACATTTTAAAGAATCAATCTGGCATTGCTGAAAATGTTCTACCATTTGATGTGGTACTTGTTGGTACAGAAAGTGATAAATGTAGCATTTTATATAAATTTGGAAAAACAGATTTTTGAACAATACTCTTTAACAAAATTTGACCAAGTTATTATAATAATAATTACAACGTTAACGAGAATACCAACTATCAGACCTAAGCACATTACCGTTGTACTTATGAAGATTGAAAGACCATGAAAACATAATAAAATAATACAAAATCTAATAATGTTTTTAGTAAGACCCCTGTAAGGGATTGGCAGGCACTGCGATCGTCATCCAGTAATCGTTAGTTATTATCGTTAGTTGTTATCACCATTTTATACTCTATGTTACAAAAATAAATTTATGATTATTCTTCTGGGTTACGACTATTTTTGTGTTTACTTTATTGACAACTTCAACTACAAAATAGTTTGTAAATTTTCAATTCGATAAATGTTGTTAAAATTTGAACTTTAAATGCTTATAAAAAAAATTGTGCCTATGTATTTTGAATATGTTTTAACTGCTATTAGGTACAACAATATATTAAAAAAAGCGGATAAGTGGATGTTGCTCTGCTGTCTGCTGTACATTAGGTGACTAGAAGGTCGTTGTAATGGATTGTATTAAATTTGAATTCAATGATATCATATTATTGTATACGACAAAACGATACTGAGCGGAGACTGTATGTCAGTCTATGATATTTGTATTACTTAGTATTAATATGGTAACCGGTGAGTTGAATTAATATTATTCTTAAATTATCAGTGATGCTGGAAAAATATTAAATATATGTTTGTACAATTTGGCTGTTTCTTTATCGAATTACAACAAAATAATAAACTTTATTCTTTGTGTTAATATGCAATTTTGTCCAAATTTGAACTTTAAGTTGTCATTTTAAATGTCTGTCAAAAATGAGTAACTTTATTCATATATTTTTTAGGTTCTTAGTTATGGAAAAAACTGCTTAAGTGAAACTTTGTTTTAAATTTTCAACTAAATATAATTTGCTAGTTTTCGTGATTTTTAAGAATTTTGTCATAATTCTATATTTAAACGCTCATTAATAATTATTATGGATTTAAGTTCAACTTTTTTTGAAATTTAAATTAACAAATACTTAAAAAAAACCTTTTATTACATTTTCAAGTTTTTGGACCGAGCAAACATTTTTTTATTGACTTGGGTTTAAAAAACAAATAATAATCGAAAATTTCTTATGCCTATAAAATGTTCAACACAAATCAAAATGTTTTGAAAATTTTATTGTGTACAGAAAATGCTTACACAAATATTCAGTGCAAATTTCTTATATCTACTGTCGTTTTTGTTAGAGTTACACTAAAAACCAAAATCGATTTTTTCAAAAACTAGTTTTGGGTAAAAATTCCCGTTTTTCCTTAATTTCTTGTTTGTTTTACCTGTCGCTTTTACAAACTATTGGAAATGTTGACCCGAAAATGCACCAACTAGACCTCTAAAACGTGGGGCGCCATAATTATAAATACTTTTTAGAGCTGTGGCTCTTCGTTATGAACTATAAAGAATTAATGTTTAATATTATAACTTAAGTCAATAGTAATGACCAAAATTGTTTTAATTTTATTTCGATAAAT